GGTTGATTCGGCACCATGAGAGACGACAGTTTCAGATACTTTGGGCTTTTCATATTTCAGCCTTTAGAATGTTCTTGATGATGATTAATATAACAATAATTGGTTCCATCTATACTAGGCAAAGAACCTGGTAGAAGGATATTATTGTGATCCTGAACAGGTTTACCAAAGCTGGCGTGCCACACTTGATTTTAATTGGCGTTCATCAAGATCACCATCACATTCATCATGAATGATTCCACCTTCAATTTCATCTTTCCCACAAAAGTGCTCTGAACAGAAGGCAGTCTCCCCCCCAAAAACCCAGAAGCAACACTTAGTATGACCATCTTTTACCATGCTGATATGGTGTACATATGGTGTACATATTTCCTGGCTGTGAGGCATGAAGGCCGCACACTACAAGGCCCTTTCCACCTGACCTAGGGAGCAGGGCCCAAACTCATCCAGCCCTACAAAAGACTCCTCATGGGGCTGGAGGAACATCGCCCGGCTGTGAGTGCTGAAGGCCGCTCCCTGCAAGGCTTTTTCCAACCTGGCCTAGGGGGCAGACTCACCCAGCCCTACTGTGTTAAATATGCATTCTGTAGTTGACCACCTTTGTAATGTTTTATTTTGAAATACTTTAAGATAATATTTTAGTTTTCTGTTATGTTGCTTTGACTGTATATGTGACTTTTTCAGATTGTTTTATTGATTTATTGATATAATACAGGGGTCAGCAACCTGCGGTCCATGGGCCACAAGTGGCCCAGGGGGGTCGTTTAAACGGCCCACGAGACACCCCTAAACCGAGCCACCTGCTCGGTGAGTCCCTGCACGCTGCGCTAAACCGGCGCAGAGCAGGGACTCACTTCTGTGGCACCAGAAGTTGTGTCGGCGCAGGCGCTGGAAGTCGCGTCTGTGTAGACGCGATCCAGCCCACGGAGCGATCTCCGCGGGAGTAAATTGGCCCAGGCAAGGTAAACCTTGCCGACCCCTGATTTAATATGCTGTAAACCGCTGAGATTTTTCTTAAAAATATAAAGTGGTATAGAAAACAAACAAACAAATAAATAAATAAAGTCTTTGCCACTGTTTCCCAAGTTATTCAGAGCTTGCTGTGGGTGTTGGGCAGCATTTTGCTGTTGCAAAGACGTATTAAGCTGATTTGACATCACTACTAGTTCTTCTGCAAGAACTGACGACATTAATAATATATCTGATCTGTTTGCTTCTTTCAGCACTAAGAAATCTCCAAGCTCCCATATCAAGAATTTCATCACTCTTGTTTGTAATAGTACCTTTTCTCCCAGAGTCTGTGAGGGTGAAACCCTTCATCTCCTTGTAGTTTTGGCTTCATCTCAATCAAGATAGACCTTCATGGGAAACTGCCCTTGACTCGTCGGCTTCTATTTCTTTAGTTATCCTTGTGTTCTTACTTCAGTAACTACTTGTGCATACAATTTGTGTGATAATATAGATTGGCAGCATGTGATAGTCAACCTGCAAACCAGTCATTAGAATCTACCTTTGGCCTTTGCAGAACTGAGTAGCCCTCAGAATCATAAATGCATGATGATACTCAACTATAGGGTGATTAATATATGTTCATCAAGGTTTAGCCCTTAAGCATATGATCTGTTAACCTACATACTCCAAGTTACTGCAGCTACCCTCTTTTCAAGTTGGTATTTGTCATCTTGTTTGAAGTGGTGACTATGAGTCTTTGGTCGTATCCACAAATCCATTAAAAACACATTTTTATCACTTTTAACAGTCATGCCTTTCTTCAAGAATCCCAGGAATTGTAGTTTACTCCTCACAGAGCTACAGTTCACAGCACTTTAAACTACAGTTCCCAGAATTCTTAGGAGGGAAGCCGTGACTGCTAAAGTGGTATAAGAGTGCTTTTCATGTGTGGTGCGGATGTGGTCTTTATTCTGGTATGTCCTCTTCCACATCTGTCTGTCTAAACTGCAGAGCTATTATTCCAATGGTCGGCTTCAATGTGTGCTACTTCTAACCACTGCTAAAGTGGTATTCAGATGCTATACTTGCCAGCATCTTTAGTTATTTGGTGCCCATTTCCTGTAAATAGTGACATTAGTAAAATGAATATGCAAGGGTGTAATATGAATTTGCTTTATGGCATATTTTATTGATATTGAGGATCAATTTTGTTTCCTCCATCTTTATTCTCCATATAAGTGCTACTTCTTTTCTTCTTATTAATGTTCTGTTCATTCAGTCAGTCTTTAGAAGATCAGGTATCACGGACTGCAACTGGAGCAGTTTCTGCCAATTGCCACATTTTGCATTTCTCTAGCGACATACTTGCATTGAGAAAGAAAAGGATGCGTCTGAAATTTGTGAACCTGTTTTTCAGGATCTACTGTACATATGATGCTTTGATAAGTTAAGTGCATCACCAATTAAGGCAATTTTCATGGGCATAGGAAACAGATTAAGGGATATCTCTTATTCCAACTTTCTTGGTCAACATGCAAGCTTTTGACTTACAAAGCATTCATTACCAGGAAGCAAGCTTTAGTCAATGGTTTTAGCCAATGACAGAAAAGTAAATGTTTGAGAAAGAACTCATAGGTGGTAAATTCTCCATTGTGTATGGCTACACCTCCCTCACTCATGCAAAAGAACAAACGTGTCTCTGGATACATGCTGCTGAGCCACAGAAGGGGAGACTTGCGCCCAACCTTATGCCTTCTCAAGGAGGGGCAAAGGGTAGTAAGTCCCGAGCAGACAGTATATCCATAATGCCAGCACAGCGGGACCATCTGGTCCTGTGCTGGCCTCGCAAGAAGTTCTGAATTGAGCTACTGTCATTTAAAGAGGAGAGCGGGCTAATCAGAAAACAGTTAGCATCCTAGACAGTTGCCGATACAACAGATTAATCGGCAGGGGGTTGCAGGCTGTTTTAATGACCTAAGGAACTAAGATCTCTATTGAAGCTGGCTGTTTGTGTTGATGGATACAAACAAACAAACAACTCAGATATCATTCTGTTTCTTCTTCTCGGACTGTTACAGTTCAAACCCTTTGCACCAGAAATTCGAACCATTTTCAGATTAACACCGAAGTCCAGTGAACTGGTTTCAGAACGGTCAACTTGCTGAGACCCTACTTCTAAGTAAATAAGCATAGGATTAGGCTGCACATAATTTAGATATAAGAAGCTGGTAGCTGCTGATAGAGTGCTTATAGCTAGGGCTGAGGTTTTTTTATACTTTGCTTTTATACCACAGTAATCTAAATTTTGGGGTCAGAAAACTGAATTCTGCAATGTGTCTAAATTGTGCATATTAAATATATTTCCTTGTTTGTTTTGCATAATATCTTAATGCTTCTGCTAATCAGTGGGAGAGACAACAAACTATGCAGAGGGGCTCTGAAACTGGTCCGAACTGGTAGAAACTTTTCATGTACATTTGGCTTCTATGCTTTCGTCAAGCATGCCTTTCTAGCATATGAGATAGAAACTTGCCTTTAAAGCCCCCCCCCCTGAAATTTTTATGATTTTTTAAAGTTTCACCCAACACCACTGTTAGCGTAGTGCTTGCCTAAATTTTTTTAAAAAACACCTAGGCTTTCATGTGCAGCACTGATACATCTACATACGAGTTTATCTTGTGCTACTTAATGGGTTCTTACTGGGAACTCACACTTCAAAAAGATATCCCAGGTTGTGTAGGGGTTTGGACAATAGAATGTTGGCATTTCCGCAATAGAACTATTCATGCTTTGCTTTGCATGAACTGAATCAGTGCATATGTGGGTGGGAAGGAAACTCTGGAAGAGATTGATTTCTTTCAAAGTCCTAATTATTTAGCTTCCTTAGGGATACAATATGGATTTCCTTGGGAAGTTATTTGGTTATTTTGATTGCTGGATGGCTTATATGTAGAGGGTTTGATGGATGGCTTATTGTGTAAAGAGTTGAGCCAATCAAACTGTATGGTTTGCTAATTAATTCTGACCTTAATTTGTCTCATTCAATGGTGCTCGAACGATATTTAGCAGACTGTGATAACTGGGGGAGTCAAAATTGTTCAGGCACAACTGCTTCTCTGTATTAGAGATACTCAGTATTGAATATCTTACCATTTTCTCTGCAGGCATGTATTCCTAAGCTACATTATTTACTTTTCGGTTAGCTCTCCAAAAGGGGCTCATTCAAAGTATTTGTCCAATGGCTGCTTCCAGCCAAGCCCCTTCCCATGAGGTCCAACGATAAGCAAGGAGCCAAGCAGGAATCACAAGTAAACAGCTGAGGGGTTCCTCCCCATTTTATTCTTCCTATGTGCTGAATATATACACAACTGGGAAAGAGATCCTCTTCTCTTCAAATGACCATATCTAATCCCTCTGCCATCCTAAGGACCACACCCTCTCAATTAGCCTTTGGCTAATAAAATAATCTAAGTTTGTATCTGACCAACCTAGTTGGTCTCTAAGGTGCTACTGGAAGGAATTTTTTTATTTTGTTTCGACAACGGCAGACCAACACGGCTACCTACCTGTATAAGATTTTAGCTGCAGTTCATTCATTTTCAGTTTTTTGTTATAAAAAAAGTGTGTCTAGACATTCTGTTGCTGCGCCCATAACCTAGGTTTAAGGCGCCATTTTGCTCCTGGCTTTCATATCTCAGTTTCTAACACTGGTTGCTGATATCTTCAAGAGAAGGAACATGGGCTCCAAGTCCCCATCTCCACTTCACCCTGCTGCAGCCTTGGTGGTGGCTCTTGCTCCTGGTGCACCTTTTGCACAACGAGTAGAAGTTCCCTGGCACTGGGGCCATTAGGCCATTAGGGCCAAGTTGAGACCATCATTCTGAACTATGGTTAACCGGACCTTGATTTATAAACCTTGACTTGGCGTGTCATGTGAACCCGCCACTGGCATGTTGCCCCAATAAACTTGGCCATGAACTAATGCAGCTCTTGGACTGAAACGGTCCTCCATAACCTTTGACTTTGTGCTTTCTCTTTGTCCTTGCTAGCATCAGGCAACATGACAGATATGGGCAGCTGATTCTGGCAAATGCCACTGCAGCAGACACTGGTCAATACAGCTGCTGGCTCCTGCAATGCAGTGGCTACAATTGCAAGAAGGATGAGACCAAAACGGGCTCAACGTACATCTTTTTTGCAGGTAATGGAATGGCTCATTGTTTCCAGAGGTAGAAAGGTCCTTCCTTAATGCTATCTTTTTTTTCATCTTTGCACTTCACGGTATCCCTGTATCGAGTGGGCAGCAAGTGTTTCTGATAGTGCAGATTATACCCTCTTTTGTGCTCATTAGTTACATGCTCATTTTTCAAAGCAGTTCATTTTTTAGCACTGCTGTATTTGGGTTTGCTTATGCAATCAGTCATCGTCTTTTAGTGATACATTATCATATTTAAGCTTCTTGTTTACACTGAAAATATTTTATTGGAGATCAAAGCAAGTTAAAAAAGAGGAATGGTTAATTAGTGCCTGCTGTCTGTTTTGTAGAGAAAATTTACAGTCAGCCACATTATGGTTATTTAAGGTGTGCAGTGGTGGATGAAGTTAAAAAGTCACTGCATGCACATAATCCTTTAATGCAGCCTTCCTCAAGCTGAAGTTTTTGACTAATTTCCTCACCACTGGGTGTGCTGCGAGATGCTGATGAGACATCTGGCAGGTACCAGGTTGGGGGGTAGGTGTCCCTAATGAATAAGCAAGATAAGGAGCAATAATGTGAGGTGAAAATGCACTGCGTAAAGAGTGGTGATTGAACTAGGATACCAGGTCTACAAATCATGATTGGTACAGATTTGGGGTCGTGGATGGCGCTGCAGTCTAAACCACTGAGCCTCTTGGGCTTGGTGATCACAAGAATGGCAATTCGAATCTGCGGGATGGAGTGATCTCCCGTTGCTCTGTCAAAGCTCCTGCCAACCTAGCAGTTTAAAAGCATGCCAGTGCAAGTAGATAAATAGGTACCACAGCAGCGGGAAGGTAAACGGCATTTCTGTGCACTCTGGCACTCATCATAGTGTCCCGCTGCACCAGGTGGTTCATGTTGGCCATATGACCTGGAAAAGCAGTCTGTGGACAGACGCCAGCTGCCTCGGCCTGAAAGCGGAAATGAGTGCCGCACCCCATAGACTTAACCGTCCAGGGGTCCTTTATCTTTTACCAGTATGGACTCTGATCAGAAGTAGAGGATTCTAGGTGGTGAAGTTAGTACAATAGCTCAGTTTGGAAAGATCTGGTTATCTTTAAAATTCAGAAATGCAGTCACCATTCTGAAACTTATGCTGGAAGATCCAAATATGCTGTTAAGATTCTTTTAAAACTGCATGCAGTGTGTTATGGAGGCTGCATTCGCAGTGAGAGGCCCTGCTGAGCACATGGCCACATTCAATAAAGGCTTAGTGATTTGGGGCTTAGTGTTTAAATTCAATTGCTAAGTATTTGAAATCACAACTGAAAATGTAATTCTTGCAGAGGTACTATGGTTGCCTCTCTCACTAGGTCAGGCTTGGACAACTTGTTATCCACTTTTCATGTATGCCAGTCTTCATGTGACTTTGGGGTGTGTGTTTCACAAGGCTCACTAGTCTCCCAAGAGTGGTTTGTTTACCCCTGAGATAGATCGGGCATTTGCTTACAGGGGACATGCAAATTAGAGATCCATTGAAGCCATTATATATTTAAATTAGTTCATTCATTTTCTTTTAGAAAACTACTCTTAAAGGTAACGTTCTTGTTGGTAAAAATCAGATTTCTGCTAATAAACCATTTCTCCCATTATTGATGTTTTTGCTATGGTGCTGGTTAAAATGGTAATGACTGGTGCGTGATTAATATCCATTGCCTTGCTTCTTCCTACAGATAAAGGGGAGCTCTTCGTTCCCTCTGCCAGTTATTTTGAAGTTGTCTACCTCAACCCAGATAAGCCAGCGGTAGTTCCTTGCCGAGTGACCAGCCCGTCAGTGAAAGTCTCATTGCACCAGGAGTTCCCAGCCGAAGAAATCCAAGTGGATGGAACCAACATTATTTATGATGTGAAGAAGGGTTTTATCTATAAGCATCCAACATCCGATCACAAGGGAGTGGTTTACTGCAGAGCAGAATCGTGGGGAGCACCTCAGATTTCCATCAAGTACCAGTTGCTTTATGTGGAAGGTAAAAAAACTAACTTAATGGCTCAGGCCAACATCAAAGCAGTTCTACTGTACGCTCTCGGACACAGTGCTTTAAACTGGCCCTGAGCAATTTCCCACACAGGTTAACACAGTGGTGATCTGTGTTTATGGTGATGCAGGTGGTGCTGTGGTCTAAACCACTGAGCCTCTTGGGCTTGCTGATCAGAAGGTTGGCGGTTTGAATACCTGCAACGGTGGTGAGCTCCCGTTGCTCTGTCCCAGCTTCTGTCAACCTAGCAGTTTGAAAGCATGCCAGTGCAAGTAAATAAATAGGTATCACTGCAGCAGGAAGGTGAATGGTGTTTCCATGCACTCTGGTTTCCATCACGGTGTTCTGTTGCACCAGAAGCGGTTTCATCCGTGCTGGCCACATGACCCAGAAAGCTGTCTGTGGACAAATGCCAGCTCACTTGGCCTGAAAGCGAGATGAGTGCCACAACCCCATAGTCACCTTTGACTGGACTTAACCGTCCAGGGGTCCTTTACCTTTGTTTTGCCTTATGGTGAACTACCTAGGTACTCAGGTTCTTACTGAACTACTCAGGCTACTTCACCACAAGCAAAACACATTCAAATGTGTTTTCTGAGGTCAGCGAAGTAAAATTATCAGCATAATGAAACTTTCCAAACCTCGAGCATATATCTACTTTGAAATTGAGGCAGAAGATAGTAGTTCCCTGTTATCTTTACGCAATACCTACATTTCCCACAAGCTAAGTTGAAGAACACTTTGGAATACTACAGTAATATATCTGCACCCATAAATAATTTTGCCCCCAAACAGCAGTTGGAGCTAATTTGTGAGCAAATTACAAGAGAGTTATGTGTCTCTTGGGTGGGGTTGAACAATAATGAATTAAAAATTGATTTTGAGTAGAATTTTAAATTGTCAATATTTTTTCCTACTCCCTGCGTAAATGTTGTTGACTTGAGTGCAACTATTAGCAGCTGGTGGTCTTGGTTTCCATGTTGTGGAATTTTCACTTGCTGATTTCTACAAGTCAAGCTGGTCCATCTGCAACCCGGTAGGCTATTAAAAATGTGGAATTTTTATTGTCTCTCGCCCATCTCTTTGAACCAGTCCCTAGTGGCCCACCTTCAACTACAATCAAAGCATCATCCAGTACGGCAGAAGGTGGTGATGATATCAGTGTTCTGTGCACAGTTTTGGGGGAGCCAGATGTAGAAGTGGAGTTTAATTGGATATATCCAGGGCAAAAGGTAAACTGCTGCTTGTTTTGCTATTTCTCTAAAAAATAAAATAATAGAAAATTATGAACACGCAAATTAGTCCATCATGAAATTTTGGAAGGCATGAAAACAAAGCTTATTAGTTACAAAGTTGCTAAAGTCTTGAGGACGATGCAGGCAGAGGGTAATGTTGACTGGTACAGTAATCTATTTTTTCCTGCCACTTTTAGCTTGGAAAGATTATACACAAAGGCCTGATTTGGCCTAAAATTGGCCATCCATGTTTTGGATAAGTCTATACCCAAAGGACCACTATAAAGCTATCCACATGAGTAGACAAAGAATATGCTTTACAGAGATTGCTTATCATTATAATCTACCACAACATTTTTCTACTAGGAAATCCTGATAAATTTTTGAGGGTTATTTCCCTTCTGGAGTTTGATTCTTCACCACTAGATTTTTAAAAATCAATTTATCTTCATCCACTGTTGTGTAGAACAGTAATTGACCCTTTTGAGTTTCCTTTTATTTTTCTATATATTGTAAATTCACAGATTAATATGACACTATTACTGAAGCTGCAAGTGTATAAAGTTATTACAGCAACCAAACTCTCATCCTGTCTCAAAGCACAGCCCATGCCATCAGTTTAGCAATATGTGGCTACTAAAATTGCTTAGTAACACAATAACATTGATTTGTGGACATTTCATTTATTAGCAGATAATTGTGTGTGGTGCTAGTGGGAATTAGGATAAAATGCAATTTGTTCCAAAGTCTCTTTCTGGTTCTGAGAGGTGGTAGAGTCAATTGTGCCTTTGCAATATGGTGCTTGGATATTTTGAATATTTTTACCACAACTGTGTCTGAAGTGGCACAGTTCTGGCCCATGATCTCTCATGCATAAATCCCACTAAAACCACTTTAAGTCTTGACAAAACAGATGGCAGGACTACATACCAAATGTCTGAAGTTCCACCTGCTGCATGGATTCAATTAACTTTTCAAAGGTGGTATTTAAAAGACTTAAATCTTTACATCCTTGATCACCTTACACTGGTGAGTCCCAGACTCAGCTATACCAAATAATCTGAACCCAAAAGAAATCATAGGACCAGTTTTCCCAAAGGTGTTTAAACTAGACAAAATACCATTAAGGAAGTATAGAGGATGTTGTATTAAGTCTGTAATCTGCTGCCACACTCTGTTGGCCTTACTTCCAGTTAAACAGTGCCTAGGATCTGGCTGTACTTCACATATAGGTGCTAAAATTACCCAGTAAGTAATCTTTATCTGGCATGAATACAAAGAGAGGCCAGCCTTAAATGGTCATGTTTCCCCTTCAGATTAAAAGGGCAGAAACAAACAAGACAGCCCTAGAAGCAGCAAACCAAACACATCTTTCATTGTATGGGAACAGCTGGGATTCTTATTGCAAAACCAGCAGCCTCGGCATCTTCCGCAATAGCTCTGCCATTCAGATTAAAACTCCTACGCTAGCAAGTAAACTACTGTTAATAAAATTAAGTACTGTGTTTACAGAAATGCTTCCGATGACTATCTCATGTGAAGTGTTTTCCAATCATTAGTATGAAAGGCCTGTGGTTATCCAAGACTCTTGGAGGCTGATCGACAGAGGAATTGGTCACACCACGAGAATTTCCGAGAGCCTTATTACCGTTGAAGATTTTGAGACCATTGATGGCGGAAACTATATTTGTATAGCTCAGAACCTTCGAGGACAGACCACAGTAGCTGCCTATGTTGAACTCATCTGACATACTGAGCTCTCAGACAAGACGGAACAGGAAATGTATTGCTGGACTGCTTCTGGCTAGCTTTGCCTTCAGAACTTGAGATAAGTGCAAACAAATCTTAATATAATTCATTCTTACCTTAGAGCAACACAAATGCAAGCATGTGGTTGTAAATGAGGGTTATTGTGCAAGTGTAGCACAAGGGCTTAGAAACCGAACCAGGAACTAGAATATCCATCACCCAGTGTTGCCTCTCCCACTCAAAGTGGCCTTAGAGAAATGACCATCCTATCTTCATTATGGAAACACTGAATTACCACACAGGGTTGGTTGCAAAAGGGTGCTAAAATAAGTCTCCATCACATTCCAAACACTAAAGCACTATATAAATGCTAAGCATTAAATATAACTCAAGTCACTTTTTATGGAAATATACATTTCAAAGCCATAATCTCACAATATTCTTTTGTCATTAAGAGATAAAAGCTAGCTAAATTAACGTTAAAATTAGCCTTGCGCTTTAATTTGCACACATGAAAAGTAAATAAATATCACTTGTAACATAGATGCACATGTCTCCTGGTAGCTTGGAATGTAATGTTTAGTTTGCTCTGTAAAATTTATTCCCCCTGCAGAATTAGTCATTGTTGTACGTTTTGTAGAAATTGCAGTACAATATATGTGAGTTTTAATATGCCATCTTTAGGTATAATAGACAGCTGCAGCCTGAAGGGTTGATTTTCTTGTCGCTTGTAAAATACGTATCAAACAAATAAAATACTCTGCAAGTTTTAAGCATTTGTAGATTTAATATTAAAAGTAGTTTTCTTATATTTATACAGTGGTACCTCGGGTTAAGTACTTAATTCGTTCCGGAGGTCTGTTCTTAACCTGAAACTGTTAACCTGAAGCACCACTTTAGCTAATGGGGCCTCCTGCTGCTGCCGCCCCGCTGGAGCACGATTTCTGTTCTCATCCTGAAGCAAATTTCTTAACCTGAGTTATTATTTCTGGGTTAGCGGAGTCTGTAACCTGAAGCGTATGTAACCCGAGGTACCACTGTATAGGGGACATGACTTACTGCATGTTACTCAGCTGTTTACATAGTAGAAGGATCCAGTTTTAGTGTTCAGTGTGAAGGTCTTTTGCTGATCACACCAAGCACTAAAAGAATTCTAAGCAAATGTAGAATTCACATTGAATTCAAATCATTTCTATTGGTAACTGCATTTAGAATTAAGCACTCATCCAGCCTCTGTAGAAGGGAAACAAAACAACATCTTTTAATAAATTAGTTTCATCCTCTAATGCAGCTGTAAGTTTTGAGCAATACATAATGCTGGATGATTCGACAAAACAACACTTTCTGTGGCAGCTTATTCAATCTTATTACTGTGTGCAAGGTCATCTAAAACAGAAGCCTCTTCTGTATAAATGGCTCAGAATGTGGATGTTACGCTTATAACTAAAATTATCTCTTTAGCCTCAGTATTTTTGCTTTTATGTCTAAACAGGCAAGAGTCTTGAACCAGTAAAAAAAATTTATTTTAATTTTCAACACTCAAGTACATATAATCAAATATGACCTTGCCAAAGAAATAAATTGCTCCAAGTCATACTTTTAAGCCAAGTTTCAGCCTATAGCGGATTTTCATAGTTATATAAATCAATCTCTGAACAACAGTTAATTTAGAAGTGCTGATATCTCTAGCTACATAACAGTGCCATAAATGGGTTTGGGCAGGCAAAATGCTTCACAGGGGAGGCACACTTTACACAATGTAAAATTAAAATAATTCATCCTTGAATTTTTCATATTACAGAGTAATATTTCAGTCAGTAATAACTAAAACCTTCTGCTGTTGAAGCCAATGTTTCTGCACCCTAAACAAAACATTTGGTTTGATACTTTGTTTTCCAAGTTTATTAACGTTTTTCCCAGTGCTCCTTCGGTTTTATGGAAGGGGACAAGGATATCTCAAGACCTAGCTCTCAAATCGTCAACATCTTTGCTACAAACCACTGGGTTGAATCCAATGCTGTCATTGCATGCGTGGGTCGGTCTTCACTTGTGCAACATGACCTTCCACTCCTCTACCCTGCATCCCTCTGTGCCCCCAGAAAATCTGCTCCAGAGTGCCTCCAACCCTCAAGCAGATTGAGGGTACTGGGAGGCAGCAGTGGAAAGGAGAGGATGGGCAAGTCCAGTTGCAAAAGTGGGAGTCTCTCACTTGTACAACCATCATATCAGCTACAACCCTGTGATTTCAGGCTTTGATTAACAAGTTGATTATTCAACAGCAATGACGGTACCAGTGCATCTTAGATGTGTGAGTGATGACTACATAACCAAGTCCCATCTAGATCTGATAGCAGAGATAGTGTTTAACCATAACAAAGAATGCATTGGTACATACAAGAATACATGTTGAACAGGTCATTAACAGGAACAGACATGCAGTGAGTCATCTTCGGATTTGTAATGCAGCACTGAATGTTGCCTATGACACAGACATCTTCAACCTATCATGTCAGCAAAATAATCAGTTTTTGTTTTTTCTGATTCCTGAAAATCTCATGCTAAATGAAATGGGGGAATGCAGAGTCTTGCAGCCAGTTGGTTAAAGTGCACATTGACAAGTTATCAGTTCGGGATGTTTGTTCTTCGCAATGCAAGGAAGTGCTACTGGCAGCTGTACACAATGGCTGTGTTCATACAACATGCTAAGCCGAACCCTTGGCTAGGCAAAACTGAATGAACATGTGGGCTCTTAGGGAGGAGCTTCTAGCTATTCAGCTCCTCTCTGGGAGCCTGCACATTCGCTGTTTGGCTTGGTGCATTGTGGGAACACAACCAATCCTACTGTTCTATCCTAATAATAGCATCTGAATATATATATATATTTCCTTTAGTGTGAAATTCTGTGATCTCAAGTCAAATCAGACCATTATTCTCCACAGCTGTCGTCACCCTGGAAAGGGCTGCATGTCTGAACTATCTACCACCAGATATCTAAAAAAAGGAGGGGGAAGAACATTTAACTAGGTGAGAAAAGAAACCCCGTTCTTATATAGTTATCTAGGGGAAGCTTAAAAATACTTTGAATGATATTTTGTGGTATGAGAGGTTATCGGTCTCGTCGTAAATTCCACTATGCAAGTAGGCAGACAATGACAAAAATCAAATAAAAATCTCATCCTTTGACTAAACTGAAGCAGAGAGATAAGGAAAAACGTAGAGCACAAGCGGCAGCTTTTCCTTAGTCCCATGGAAGGGAAAAATCTATGATGAAACATGCATAATGGCAATATTTTATTTATGAAGTACATGTCACTTTATTCTTCAGCTTTTGTCCTTTATAATATACATAGCAAAGGTGGCTGCATCACACACACATAACACACTCACCGTGTGATACATCCAATTCACTCATGCCACACTCGGCGTCTCAAGGTGTCTATAATAAGGAACGTATTAAAGGTTGTGATCTTTTATTTATAAGCCCCTGAGCATATTTTTTTTCTCCCTAAAGTTAGGTGAAAAAAGGCAAAAAACCGAACAAGACTTTCCTTGCTCTTTTAAGTGCTTTGTGCAACAATGTTCAGAGAAGTTATCACTGAAGTCTTTTTGTATTCTTTAATAAGGAGATGCACTGTTTCGAGTTCTAGCCATGAACTCCCATTACGTTACAGCCATTTCTCATGACAGTCATTTCCAGTTATATTTCAATCACGCGCAGCTAATATAGCTCTTTGCTCCCTCGATCCATGTTTTTTAGTTCTGCAGACCAAAAATGAAATGCCTGTATGGAGAGTGTCTCTTCGTTCAGTGGTGTCATCTAGGCGACACAGTCGGGCTGGAGAAGGAGCCTGAATTCCTTGGCGATTGAAAAGGCATTGGTGGAGTACTGGGGGACAGTTTTCTTGGGCTGCACAGGTCTCCATTGTGTAGCTTCCACAGAAGTTCTTCATTTTCCATTGACAAGCGCTTATTTACCTTTGATTCTTTCTCCAGAGACTCTTGCAAAACTGCCTGTTCAGTGGAAAGTTGCCTGTTATGAGAGAGAGAGAGAAAGCAGACGGTTACTGTCTAGGTTGGACTAGCAACAATACGCTGCAGTGTACCCGCTTTCCCCAAAGGTGTTTCTGTTCAGGATTTCAGGTAGCTACAGCCTTCCCCAGAGTTAACAGACATGGTTGCTGGATTAAATCTCCCACCAGTCCCAGCCAACATAGCCAATGGTTGGTTGTGATGAGAGTTGCAGCACAGCTCTCCTAATCTCTGATGTTGTTTTTTCTCCCATTCAACAATCGGAATTCTGTGGTTCTTGAGAGCCGCTGGGCAGTTTCCCTGGGCTGTTTGGGGGTTGCTTTTTGCTGTCTTTGGTTTATGTTTTGTATTTCTGCACACCTGAGCGTCACTCGTGTGTGCAGTTAACTTGCTTCCTCCTTAGTGATTTTGTTGTGGCTCCAGTCCTGTCAGCACTCAACCTCGAGCTAGAGGGTGAATGATCATGTGACCATATTGTGGTTTGCCAGTCAGCTGCTTGTGGTGCAAGAAACTCTGAGGACAGGGACCGGAGTAACAAACTGCAGAGCTCGCCTGCTCTACATCCTTGCCCGTAAGAGATGGTAGCCCCGTAATCCTACAAAAGGGCAAAGCCAAGCCACTTTCCCCACATAGGATTTAATGGTAGGGACTGAGTTTCCTGCCGCAAGGAGTGGAGAGCAAAATTATTGAAGGCACAAGAAACGGGAAAAGGAGAAAGAGTAGTTATTTGATCCTCCTTTTTAAAAGCTAAACTCTTCCACGATTCAGAAAAAGTTACCACCAAGGACTAAGAGTCTAACTCCAAACATAAGCAGTCTGAGCAAGTACTTTCAAAAATCCAGCATAGTTTAAATATACAGTGGTGCCTCGCAAGACGGAAAACCCGCTAGACAAAAGGGTTTTCCGTTTTGGAGGCGCTTCGCAAAACGAATTTCCCTATGGGCTTGCCTCGCAAGACGACAGCCCATAGGGAAATCTCCGGGACAGCGGGGAAGCGCAGCGCGTCTTCCCCGCTGTCCTTGGACCTCCTCCGAAGCCTGGCGGCGGGGCGGGGAAACCTCCTCTCGCCGCCGCCGGGCATCGGAACGATGCCCCGATGCCGGGCGGCGGGGCGGGAACCTCTCACCCCGCCGCCGGGCATCGGAACGAGGTCCTGGACCTCTTCTGAAGGCAGGCGGGGGCAAAAGTCTTTGTCCCCCCTGCCTGCCTTCCCAGGGGCTTTTAAATCGCCCCGGACAGCGGAGACGTCCTCCACTGTCCCGGGGTTTTTTAAAATGCTGGGGGTGGGAAGAAAGGCCCTTGTCCCCCCCCCCAGCCTTCAGAAGAGGTCGGGGGACAGACTGTCCCCGGACCTGGTCTGAAGGCGGTTTCCCTAGGAACGCATTAATTGATTTTCAATGCATTCCTATGGGAAACCGTGCATCGCAAGACGAAGAGACTTGCGGAACGAATTAAATTCGCCTTGCGAGGCACCACTGTAAAGAGCTTAAGGAGGCTGCTTTCTCTTCTGCAGGGACACAAAACCTCAGCCATTGACCAAGTAGTACTACCATATTTTTCGCCCTATAGAACGCACCGGCCCATAGGATGCACCTAGATTTTGGGGGGTGAAATAAAGAGGAAAAAATCTTTCCCCCCCCCCAGGCGCGGGGCTGGGGCAGGGGAAGCTCGGGCTTCCCCCGACGCCAGCCCCCAGAACAGGACCCAGAGCGATGCCGAAGCTGCGTGCAGCTTTGGCATCGCTCTGGGAGCTTGCAGGGCTGGAGGAGGGGAAAGCCCTCCACCAGCCTTCTAACCAAGTCGGGGGACAGCAGGAAAGGCGCGCTGCGCCTCCCGCTGTCCCCCGAGTTTGCGGGGCTGGCGATGGGGAGGAGCAGGCTTCTCCCCCCCCCCGCCAGCCTTCTAACCACGTCGGGGGACAGCAGGAAAGGCGCACTGCACCTCCCGCTGTCCCCCGAGTTTGCGAGGCTGGCGATGGGGAGGAGCAGGCTTCTCCCCCCCCCCCCGCCAGCCTTCTAACCACGTCGGGGGACAGCAGGAAAGGCGCGCTGCACCTCCCGCTGTCCCCCGAGTTTGCGGGGCTGGCGATGGGGAGGAGCAGGCTTCTCCCCCCCCCCCCGCCAGCCTTCTAACCACGTCGGGGGACAGCAGGAAAGGCGCGCTGCACCTCCCGCTGTCCCCCGAGCTTGTGGGGCTGGCAGTGGGGCTCTCCTGAAGCCTGGAGAGCGAGAGGGGTCGGTGCGCACCGACCCCTCTTGCTCTCCAGGCTTCAGCGAAAGCCTGCATTCGCCCCATAGGACGCACACACATTTCCCCTTCATTTTTGGAGGGGAAAAAGTGCGTCCTATAGGTCGAAAAATACGGTAATTCTCTTTGCAGTGGCTCTCCAAAGCTGTTTGTACATTAAGTAAGGAAGCAGAATCTCTTGAAAACTGTTCTTAGCACAATTTCTTAATAGTTTCAGAGGGGCTTGCCTAACTAGGTAAGTCCGCATTCAAATGCTGTGTGGGCTGTGCTTTTGTTCCCTTTACCGCAGGCACGCCCCACCTGCAATAGGCTCAAGGTAGCTTGCAGTATATACTATTTCACTTGAGTTCTCTCTACTTTCTAAATCCCCCCCCCCAAACAGAGAATTATGGCAGCTGTTAAACTACAAGAGCAACTCAAACAAGTATTTTAGAATTACCTGGAAAGCTCCATGTGTTTGTCCATCCGGGCTTTTAATTCTTCATTCTCCTGCTGAAGTTTTCTCATTTTCTCCACTAAGGCTGCATTGTTCTCCACCTTAAACAAATGTGCAAATTTAATGTGTGGTGGGGAGGGGGAGAGGCCAATTTATTTTAAATGAAGCCAGGTTGTCCTATTGCGTCAATTTATAAAATAACATCTCAAAATCTACCACAAACATTATTATTATTATTTAAAAAACTTGCTATTACAGCTCCAGAGCTCAAGCATAAATTCTCTACTACAAACTAGTAAAATGCCTCCTTCACCCTGCACTAATCTAGTCTGTCTTGTTAAAACTAGTAAGAAGCACCTTATAATTGAAAAAAATAAATAAATGGGAGAGTTGACTGCAGTCTTCCAGTTTCTTTTGTTCAGCATCCTTATGTTTCTGGCTGCACAATCTGGATTTATGGCCAGCGTATTGTGCTTAGGTTTAAGAATTAAATGCTGTGGAATTAATGATCAAGGGCAGAATAAAAATCTCTAAAATTATAAATACTATTTAGCCCTGCTCCCTGTCCCTTGGATTTATAATCTGTTCCTCTGTGCGTTCTGGAGACGAGAGGCCTAACTTACTTATTTACATGTGCTCTGAGACCAGTATATCATCTCAGAAACAATGGCACCCACTGTCCTGGGATCTCAATGTCCCTGATTATTATGGTGTTTGCCCAGCCTTACTGCTGCCATTTAGATGACACACCCTGCTGGCTCCTCTTGCCTCTGGCAGAGCGAAAGGTTTCCAGAATTTGTCACACTTTAAAAAGCATGTAAAAGAGGGAGGCACGCATCTCTCTGTCTCTGAAACCACCATTCTCAGAGTTTCCTGTATGGGGTCACTGCTCAGAATGTTGCTTATTCTGCTCTGCATCTGCATTACTCCAGCAGATATTAAGCAGAGAAACAGAAGTTTGCATAAACACCCTCAATTTACATTCTCTTTCCACATCAACAGAGCAGAATTGTTATACCATGTACCTGGATTTATACAGAACGTTTTAAATGTTCAGTATTTTAAGTGTGCAAAGGGCCCCATATATTATTTCAGTAACCCTTACAAAAGTTTGTGATGTACTGTCTTTTTGTGACAGATGGGAAGGGCTGAGATGGAGAGAATGATGGACTGCAAAAGTTCATAGGTGGAAACTTATTTAGCTAAAGCTAATTAATTTACTTTAGCTCCACAGAGGTGTATTATGGTTCCTCTTTCCAGTTTTACTGATTAACTCCTCTAACTTGAATTTATTGCTACAGTGTCTACTTTTGCATTATCAGCACAAATCCAGCTTTTAGAAGCCTAGCACTCCAAGAAAAAGCTCACCAGTTTTTCCATCTTCAACAATTTGATATCTTGTTGATGTAGCTTCTCATTTTTGATCTCCAGCACTGCTTTCAAACTTTCCAGTTCTTGTTCCAGATACATAAGCTGAGGGTTTTTCTGCAAAATGACATGCAAAGTTAATGGAGGCCCTTCAAGGTTGCCATGCATAGCAAACATATTTTAAGTTACGACTGTAAATATTGATTTGTTATAGATTTCTTTAGCCAAGCAGGGTAAAACATTTATCACACACACACACACCCCAAGGTACATCTAAAAAACTTCAAACTCACAAGCTGTTTGTATGGAGGAATAACAGACAAAGTCTCTTTAAAACAAAACTTTCACAAATGCTCTAAATGTATTTACAGCTCTTGTGAAATTATTTTATTGCTGTAAAAAGTGATAAAGGTGGTCACTTTCTGGTATATTGTTGTATTTTTAAATCACGCGTAAGGATATCTATCCCAAGGTAAAATATACCGTATTTTTCGCACCATAGGACACACTTTTCCCCCTTCAAAAATGAAGGGGGAATGTGTGTGCGTCCTATGGAGCGAAGACAGCATAGCCCCGCGACCCTCTGCCGGCTGGAGAGGTGACGCGCGGCTATGGCAGGAGCCTCTATAGCCGCGCGCCATTTCTCCAGCCGGGAGAGCGCACGCGGGGCTAAAGAAGCCCCCCGCGACCCTCTCCTGGCTGGAGAGGTGACATGCGGCTATGGCAGGAGCCTCTGCGCTGCTCCCCGACCTGCTCTTTGGGGCTGGTGGTGGGCTTCCCCCCACCAGCCCCAAGGAGCAGGTCGAAAGGAACCTGAAGCCTGGAGAGGAGAGGGGTCGGTGCAAAACAAAGGTTTTTGATCCAGCAGGGAGGCATCTTTCACTCATGGAAGGAGAGGAGACATTATTTTTCCAAGCTCCCCTTCACCCAGTAGATCCCAGCCTTCCCCTCCTCCCCACAAAAAAAGGCTTTTTCTAGAGGATTATAAAAGCAAGTCGGTACTTACAATATTTGTTTTTTCTTTGGCTGTACGTTTTTGCTCTTCCAACTTAAGCTTTTCATTCAGGGAATCATTTTCACTCTGTAATTCACTAATCTTTTTCTAAAAGATTAAAAACAAACAAAAAAACACCCCAAACTTAAGACCTGAGCCTCTGCTATAAAGCCAGGTAACATTTTAGGAAATTGCTATCAAGTACGCTAAATAGAAAAACCCAGTGTGAGAAATTAGAAGTTGCAGAGATCCTTAACACAAACAGTAGGTCAGAGTTTAGAGAAGTAATGCTCCAAAGCATAGCTGTCCTGGCCAAGGAATTTGTCTAAGCAAAAATATAAAAATAAAATGCATGTTTTATAAAGAATCGGGAGTTGCATTGCTTATCCCATGGTTTCTAAGGGATAACCAGAAATATGTACTGTCGCACACCACCCCCAAACTCTGAGCAGTTTGAGGTTCCCAGGGGTTTGGTTCCAGGTGGTCTGTGTATCCTTTTAGAAAACGAGACACAGCGGAGATTGTGGTGTATTTATGCTATGTACAAATATATGCAACCTGAGCCTATAATGGAGTGCACAGCATCAATACCCCAAAAGCGTCTTGCCTCTTCCATAGACATAGCTTTGGGTCCAAACAGCCTTCATGCTCTGCCTGCTGTTTTGTGTCTCGGTCACAACTCCTAACTTCTTACTCTAAACCCTGGCTTTATCAGTTGAGGGAAAGGTTCTGCTCATTGTCTAAATGGCTCATCCCTTAGGCTATCACCTCACACAGGAAGCTAGCCTTAGCTTTTAACACTTGTTGATTCCAAAGGATCAGATGTGTCTAGCACACAGGTCTATACACATGGGTCTTAATTGGCTTTTGAAATTTGCTGATTCCAGGGGATTTAGAAGTGCCTAGCACACAGCTTAATACACACACAGGCCTAGCACCCAAGTGTTAACACCCCAGATCTTAATTAAATTCTAACACTTACTGAATCAAGGAATTTAGAAATGTCCAGCACCCACAAGCTTGTACCAGTATGTAGTTTTAGATCAAGTTGAAGGTACCTGTGGCTACTCTGGGCTGGCCCAAGACATTTTGATACCTGGCACTCCCCTCCCGACCAGGGAAGGAGGAGTGAGTGAAGATCTACATCAGGAACAAGGGGAATAAAGATCTCCTTTATATTGGGATCTGCTGCCCCTGTAGCTCCTGCTGCCCGAGGCCTCATGGGTGGGGTGGGCCGGCCCTATGGCAACAGTTCCAGGACATAGCTGTCAACTTACAGATTTGAAAATAAGGGACCAGCAGCCTCAAAAATAAGGGATCAGCAGCCAAAATAAGGGATTTTCTGGGCACAGGTATGTTCAACTTCTGAGCCCCTCCAAGCCAAAGGCAGAAAGCCCAGCCAGCAGCCAAACAAAGCCTCAAGGAAAACCACCGTCACCTCTCCGCTGGGAAGCGCTGAGCAAAGGTGAGTACCCAGACAACGTGGCCGATTTGATCAGCACAAGGCATGCAAACTCCACCCCCCAGTTGTTCTTAGACTCCTTACTGGGTGAGCAATGCAGCCAAGCAACACAGTTGGAGCCTCCCTCCTCCCTGGCCGGGAGGGAGGGAGGGAGAGGAGCTGCTTCCTTTGAAACCGGGGAAATTTAAGGGACATCATCAATAAGGGACAGCAGCGGGACATGGCGCTGGGATAAGGGACTGTCCCGCCAAATAAGGGATGCTTGACAGCTATGTTCCAGGATGTTCTACAAATACAAGGTACATGTTGACTTTGACACTGTGGTGGCATCTAAATCTAGCAATGTTACAGTTGCCTCTGGCTTAGTAAGCAAAAGAGAAATTACAGACCTCTAGTAGTTGTTGTTTTTCTTGGAGAGATTCTTCAAGTGTCCTTCTTTCTAATTCCTGGGCATTCTTGAGCTCTGAAAAATGTTTAGAGTCTTAACATTGCACAAGTGTACTCGCCTAACTTCTTTACAATACCTGCATAGTGTAGCTTTCATGGTTATTTTGGCAGGGAAGTTTTAATAAGGTACTGACCTCTTGTCACACTGCCAGGATTATAAACAATAAATGTATTTAGCAGCACAGCAAAGAAACTCTTCCTCTCTCACAGCAATAATGCAATGTGTTTGGTACCATCAAAGCAGATAAGCTATGCAATTTACCTGTAAAGGACAATTCGTGGTTCTTCTTCAGCTCATCTATCCTTTCCGTATGACTGGTTTCAAGCTCTAGCTTAAAGTTTTCATGTGTAATATTCAAGTTGTCGACCTGAGGAAGAACAACATATTTCGCTTACCACGTGCCAGGATGTTTGCGATATCAACCACCACAGCCTTGTTAATTGCCACTGTGGCTATTTTATGTAATTATTACTGTTCGTTCTTTTTGCATTTTGTTTCCCTTCAACCTTACACCTCTCAATTCCTTCCTCCTCCCCCTCTAACCACATATCTGCCTATACACAGAGCTGCCAGTTCAGGATGACACTCCATACATCTAATGAAACAGACCTTTCATTATCATCATGATCAAGGGTTATTTCCTTTGCCAGTTTTTATATCTGAATAAAGGAGATTGTGCTTAAGAAATTCAGCAGATGAATCTCAGCCCAACTTCCATCATGCCTACCTGTTCTTGGAGCTGTGCTTTGTATTTTTCAGCTTCTTCGATACAGATGCTCTGTAGTTTTTTGCATTCTGTTGTATAGAACTGCTTCAGCCTTTCTTCCAGTTCAGACAAATCTCTTTGGTGTTGCTGGTTCAGCTGCTGCACAAATCCTTCGTAAGCTGCTTGTAGTTCATGTCTACCTTTCTCCAATTTCTCATAGGCTGCAGAAGCGGTTACTGAAGACAGAAATGCAGTGACGTTCTATGTAAATAAAATGGTTTTGCAAGCACATGCTCACAGGACTTTTAGGGAAGCACAGCCACAGCCCTCTTCAACAGAATACCATCTTTGATGATACATGGGGAGTTTCTTCCTTTCCTCCAGCCCTATAGTATTCAGGGATAGGACCCTAATTCTGTGAGAAAACACAGGTTTTGCAGGCAGAGGTTTCAGCTTCAGTCTTCCTCACTGGAATCCTGGAGAGTCGCTGCCTGTTAGTTTATGACAGCTTCTTGTTTCTAGGTAAATTCTAGACCGTAACATTTGATTCAAGTCCCACATCTTAAAATGCTTTTAAAAAGCTAAAGGTTTTTTCTCTCAGAGCTTTCAGGAGGTCTGCCTTCTGCAAATGCTCATCTAAATTTTCAGAAATTTTATATAAAATTAAACTGTACAGAAGACTTTTATAAAAGTTGCACAGGAAGTTTGCTTGGCATCTGTGTTGATGCCTATTGTTGTGTCTTTTTATTTGTCCACAGCTACTTTTTTCCTGGTATTTTAACTGATGCTTCCCTTACACACACACACACACACACACACACACACACCCCTTTTAATGACCATCTTTTATTGCACCCATGTTTGAAATTAGACTTCTGACTTATCACACATGGTTATTTTTTACATATATAGCTCTCTCGCTCAAGAGAGCGTGTTATAGTATTTAACTGTGTTTATGATGTACAGTATATGCTATTTTGGAATATTATTTCTTTCTTTGAAAAATACCCTCTTGCTTCCAAGGTTTATCCAAACCAAAGCTAGTACACTGATAATCTGAAAGCAGCCTAACTAATCAGATTTGCACAAGTACTCTATGTGGCCATCATTCAAAGAGCTCAGTTTCACCTAAGGCCATAATATCTTAAGAGCATTGTTACTGTACCTCTCCTTTCAATAATGCCAGAAGTACGTGAATCAATGACAACTTGGTTCCCCTACAGTTTTATATTTTAAAATTCCCAAACATGTTCTCCCCTTATTCCTGCTTCCCATGTATTCCCTAGTTTCCTAGCACCAGTTCTTTCAAAAGTGGAACAGAGTTTGCTCACAAACCCCCCCGCTCTATGTCATAATCTAGTCTTGCCCAAGTTGTTAAGTGTTTATAGCTATTCTGACTTCTGTAAAGACTTCATATTAAAAATTGGGAGGGGGGAAGAGAAAGATCTCTAGGACTGAGAAGATCAATAGCATTTTGCACACATTATCATTCTGCTTACCCAATATGAAGTTACTTCATGTGTGTGAAATACTTAGCGCAAGGAGCATTTCACTCTCCCTAGTGCATCATTGCAGAGCTCCCATTTGGAAAGTAACCCGTTTAAGAAATTAAGCTTATGCACATGGTTTTACACAAAAACCTTTCAAAGACATCCATGGTGCCAAACAAAAAAGGGCTCTTCGCCTAACATATTGTAAGCTTCCAGCATATAAAATCGCAGTAGGCCACAAAGCCCTTAAGAATAGGCCCAAATATTTTAAGGCCTGTTATGATTGAAGCATTTTACAAGTGCAAACTGAACGCTAAGTGGGCATTTCTAACTGTAATGTGTGTTACACAAAGATTTCTTCTGAAAACCACCACTTAAAACATTCACCCTGCTTTAAGAATGTGACAAGTAATTATTCTCATAATAAAAAAGGCTTAAGTATCTCTGAATTAAACGAAGGGTATATACTTCAACCTCATTTCACAGGCACAGATTCAATCCATCAAATACACTATTTATATAGATAGCACTTTCATTAAGTGCTCCACATTCATAATCTGATTGATTTTTTTTTTACAACAAATCTGTAAGGTAGGCCAGACTTGCCTCCACATTACAAGAGAAATGGAGGCCAAATGATAGCATTTTGCCTAGGGCTATCCAATGGGTTTTAATTTGCTGGAAGGCACCCAGAGTGGCTGGGGCAACCAAGTCAGATGGGCAGCTTATAATTATTATTATTATTATTATTATTATTATTATTATTATTATTATTATTATTTATTATTGCTGCCAGAAGCAAAATGGACAAATAGCACACATCTCTTCCTATCACAGCAATCTCTCTATCAAAAAATCAAACATTCTAAAGCTTTTAAGAGGCAACTCTCATTTGGCCAATTTAAGCCATACCCCATCTCTCACCATTTTAGCATTACGGTCATCTGCTTGCTGCCTTGCAGCATTTAATCTGATTACTGTAAGTGACAATTAACCTGCACCCAAGTTCATTTCAGACCTGTTGTCTACCAGAACCCGGCATGACACATGGCAATGAGTAAGATATAGCACACTTTTACAGTTGGTTTGCTTACTGGCAAAATGCGGGATAAATGTCTGCAAAACCATTTAGGCAAACAACAAAATCCATGCTGAAAAGACACCCCCAGTAAATGTTTTGACCATCAAACACATGTTTCCAGGAGGCTGCTCTGGTAGGCTTAGTCAAGTTGGTGCCAGGAATTCGATGAACCCAAGGGTCAGGCAGACAACACTCCAGTGAAATGCAGAGCACAAACATATGAATACAGTCAGGGGATTAGATTGTTCTGGTTCAATACTATGTGTCTTAAAATCAGTTTTGCCGCTGCATTCGTTTAATTATTGTTTTTTTAAATGCAAAGGACAGCACACAGGCCTGTACTTACCTAACTCTCCGCGAAGATTGACAAGTTCTATCGACAGCTCTTTACGTTGCTTTACCACTTCCTCCCTCTAAGGAAAAAACAACAACACAGAGGCACATGGAATGTTAGTGAACACTCCAAGCAGAAAATACAACATTTGCCAATGCTTAACTTGCATGCTATCTGTAGAATGACAAGAAACAGGAAAGTGAAGCCAAGATATGAATCATCCAGGACAACAGCTTCATAATGTTAGAAAAACACAGATGGCCCCCTGAGTTAAGGAAGTACGTAACTTGCAATAAGAACTCTGCCAATGGCTAAAGTAATCTTCAGTGGGGTTTTAGTTAAGTACACAATTTACTTTAAAGTTAACAAAACCTTAGTTTGCAAGTTAAGAAGGGTGGGGGTGCTAGGGATTAAATAAACAGTGTGTATTAAGTAGCATTCAAGTAACCTTCCAGGATGCATGATGTTTGCCTCCAAACCATAACTGCGAGAACATAGTTGGGGATAAACAATACGTGTAATGTACTTTGTAACAAAGGTAAACATAAGCTTCGGCACAGAATACTCTCAGCCTGTGAGTACGAACTGATAAAGCCTCATTGCAAAATTTAAACGGCAGCTGCAAGCTGCTGTGCCTGTCAAGGTTTTGCACAAAACACCAAAATTGCAGTCATCTTTAAGAGTTCAAAGTGCTTCTGCTGTTAAGCGCAAAGTTAGCCTGCAATCTGTACTTCACTGCTTTTCTTTCCACTCCCACTTGCCAAACCCTGTATTAAAAGAAGTTTCTGGACACCCCAGTAAAGAGTTCCGACTAAAGCACCCATCAGCACCCACATAACAAATCTACGCTGTGCGAGCATTTCAGTATGCTATCTGCTTCCAAGATGCAGCAACTGCTGTGGAGAGAAGAGCGTTGCAGAGGACGCCAGATCCAGCCTGCCTTCCTTCCCTCCAGCTGCTGGAACCATTTTTCACCTTGCTTGCAGCAAGCCGCTGCTTTTAAAATCCTTGTTATTCCAGGAGAGCCCCTACAGCGCAAATACCAATTACCTCTTTTGCAGCACACTGAGAATACAGGCACATTCTGCTGCTGGAGCAGCCCATCGTTCAGTTTCTCTGCCCAACCACATCCACGTAGCAGGCATGTACAGGTGGCAGGAACTACCGCAAACCAAACTGGTCGGCCCACGCTTAACTCACAGCTAGGTAGCGCTGCTTTGGACACTGCCTCAGCTCGGCTTCATTGTGCTTTGCAGTTACCGTACTTCTTCTACTGGTCTCTCCCCCCAACACAGAAGCAGACACTGCAGCTTCTGCACTTGGCACAAGCAGCCAGTGATTACTTAAAGCCACAGCCCTTTCGTTTTTTGAAAAATGAGAACCAGACATTACAAAGATCGATTGCCACTTACTCAAATATCAGCTGGTACAGTGAAGGGTGGAGGGGAGGAAAGAGCACAGAAATCCCGACTACCTCTATGGATAATGGATCTTATTTTTAGCTTTTCTGAATTAGTTATTCTAGGCTTTCATTCTTAATTTATAGAAGAAGAAAACATGGCATGAATTGTAAGGAGCCGAGAGAAGGTACAGACCTTGCCAGTACGACTATGCTATCATTTGTTATGTAGCTTCTTCGGTGAACCTGGTGCTTCTACAGGATAGTCAAATCTCTGCTCCCAAGGAGCTTACAATACGGTTTTAAACAGTGGGGGCAAGGGGATTGCTTCCATCTTTTTCCTGTTACATTTGATGAAGCTATATATTCATTAATATTTCAGCATCGCTTTCATGATTGCCCTCACAAGCACTCTTTTATGATTTAGACCACTTGCTATTATTCCCATTTTACAGATTACTTAGTAACTGGCCTGAGTCAACCCTGGCGAATGCATACCCAAAGGCTAAAGCTTAGAACCAAATCTATCTTTATATTTGCTGGGGGGAAGCGGCACTCATTCACTCCTTTTTAGCTTTCCCCAAAATAGACATTCAAAAATCAAAACACTATTTTTTAAAAAAATCACATCACTGATGAATAACACACCAGCCCACCCACCTTTTGTAGGGTGGAGTTGACATCCAGCCTGAAAAGTTATGGGGAACTCATACACCTGCATATTACTTTATAAAAACCAGCTTAAAACATAATGTTTTCGAACTTCCAAGTCTCATATTTCCTCCAAAACACTCAAGGTGGCAAACATGGTTCTCCCCTATTTTATTCTCGCAACAACCCTTTGGGGTATGTTAGGCTGAGACATGTTAAACAGCTCAAAGTTGACAACTGAAGTTCACAGGTAAGTGGGGATTTAAACCCTGGTCTTCCAGAGCAAACACTCTAACCACAACACCAGCGTGATGCTTCTCATAGAATCAAGGAATTGGAAGGGACTCCCGAGGGTCATCTAGTCCAACCCCCTGCAGTGCAGGAATCTCAACTAAAGCATCCATGACAGATGGCCAACCTCACAAAGGTACAGTGGTACCTCGTGTTACAGACGCTTCATGTTACAGACTCTGCTAACCCAGAAATAGTACCTTGGGTTAAGAACTTTGCTTCAGGATGAGAACAGAAATCGTGCGGCGGCAGCAGAAGGCCCCATTAGCTTAGGTGGTACCTCAGGTTAAGAACAGTTTCAGGTTAAGAACGGACCTCCAGAATGAATTAAGTTCTTAACCCAAGGTACCACTGTATTGCCCTAATGTTAGTTTTCAGTCGTTTCCCTAACATACCAGCATGGCTCTCTGCTACCTTAGAAACTACAGATTATCATTTATATTTGCAAAACTTGTAATGCCATTTAGTCAAGTCTGCGCTAGGCTCAAAAAATTGGCCGTGAGTTCTTTGGGTAACCTTCCCTAAGTGCATCTCTCTTCCTCCATTCCCCAAGTGCATGACCAGTCTTAAACCAGGAATATCAGTGTCAAATTCACAGGTATGTTTTGGTTGTAGAAGGAAAGGCCTCTTTAGCATTTTGCATACTCTAAATTCTATACTGTATATAAAACAGGGATGCATGTAAAATATTTTTTATTACTGAGTAGAATTAAGTTCTTCATGTTGCACGTATACAAAGGACTATGGTAGTTTTAATTCAAAGAGCAAGAACTGCCCTGCTGCAGACAGACAAGAGAAAGCCCCACCTTCAGAATACATTTGTTACATTCAGGACATTCATTCCAACTGCAAATTGGTTTAAAACTCACAAATGAGAAAAATCCACTTATCTGATAACCCGATTAGTGACCAGCCACTCCTACTAGCCATCGGTAAGATCAACAATTAGAACATTGTTCTTAGAAATCTGAGGGCAATAACTCTATGGATCCACCCATTAGGTGGAAAGAAAGCATTACTGTTAAGCGAATCACATGAACAGCCCAGTATCTAGAAAGGTCAATAACTTGGATATACAAAATTTAAGATGGTTCTCTTGTACGGAACCAATTATTTTTGCCAGTATGAGCTACAGAAAACAAATCTGGCTAAAATACTTTAGTAAAATAGATCAGCAGCAAAGGGAAGATGTTCAGGTAAGCGGCCACAATCAGGACAGACACACACACAACACAAACTTTTACTGGGCTAAAAAGGGGGCATGGCCCACAGAAAGACTTGTGGAAGCTTCAAGTGATGCTAAAGACTAGGACCCAAAGATTAGCTTAAACTCATGCAAGCAGTTTTGCTAAGCCCACCCCCCTCCAAAAAATAACAACAAAATTCTCTGAAAGCTGACAAAATGGAAGAAAGCACTAAAATTATTTCTTCACAGAGAAAAAAGCACCATCCTACCCTGACCAAAGGCAGGGACTGATCTGAAGGGTGGGATGGCTGAAGGAGGTTCTGAAAGGCTTGGGGAGATCTTGCCCATCCAGTCCAGTGGAAGGAGTCATCCTGTCAATTAAATGTCCTCCAGTCCACACAGGCAAACAATTCTCTTTGAGAGCTGACACTGACACACACACACACACACACACACACACACACACTGTACAGTCGTACCTTGGATCTCAAATGCCTTGGCTTCCGAACCAATTGGCTCCCGAACAATCGAAACCTAAAAGTGTGTGTTCCAGTTTTCAAACGATTTTTGGAAGCTGAACATCCGGCGCGGCTTCCAATTGGCTGCAGGACGCTCCTGCAGCCAATCAAAAGCCGCGCCTTGGTTTTCAAATGGTTTCAGGAGTCAAACGGAATGCATTTTGTTTGAGAACCAAGGTACGACTGTATTATGAGTTGTTTTTAAAAGGAGGTGGCCATTATTTGGAAAACCAAACAAAAACAAAGGTAGCCCTAAAGCCACCTCAAGCTCATAGAACTAACTGTCTTGAAAACCTGTTTAGGCTTATTCTCAATTTTTTTCCAGTACACACATTTTATTACTGTGCAAAACATGGATTGATGAAAAATGAGCACAAAGTATTGCTACTGAAAACAAGCTGAATCCATAAATTGTTCAGTTGTTTTTGAGTTGCTGCTGTGGCGTATTTCTTTTTCATGAAGCGCATCAAAGGTTATTGCACTAAATTCAAACTGAAGGCTATTTAGGGAGCGAAGGGAATTCTATTTCATATTTCCATTATTCAGTGCTCCATGAATTTCAGTATTCTATAATACTTCAGATCTGGCCTCAAAATTCTGCAGATCACAAGTTTGCATTTGGCAGAACTGTGGCTAAACATTAGTGATTCGCCAAAATTCCAAAGGATAATATAGAAGAGGAAATTTAAATCTGGATTTAAAACAGAAGTAGGTTTCATAATATTCTCCAGGGATCCCCCAACTAGATCACGTTCCCCCACAGTGCATTTTTACTTCATTTCCTTCTCCCACTTTTTAAAACTACTCATTTGACAGTAACAGTGTGACCATACGATGAAAGCAGAGGGCCTGCTCATCTGTGAAGACAAGAATTAATTATCAAGAATGCAGCATCAGCAAGTTCCAGAAAACTGAAAGATGTGCAAACATTTCCAATCAATAAAATAGGTCATGCACACTGCTAATCATGGGAAGACATTACTATTTCCTTGGCTGTCATAGTGGGGGGGGGGGAAGAGAATGACCAGCAGTTT